ATATATATTTATAGGTATCAAATAATAATCCATTAGAAATTGAGTTGATTAGACTGTCTTTTCTTTTAATCAGTTCTGAAATGATTTTCATAAAACAAATTAAAATGTAGTAAAATTATGTGGCCCAGCTTTTCAATTGAGAGGACTAAGATCATAAAATTAAAACAATTTTTCTCATTAACATCTATAATGATCAAGACTAGTTTTTAATGAGAAAATGAAAATAAGGTCCTCTACCTTTTACTTTGTATAATTTTCTTTTTGAAATGTATTCAGGAGAATGGTTACATTTTGTATAAATTATAAATTATTAAGTATAGATTCTGAATGTCTATAAAAATTAACGTTTTTATACTTTTTCTAACTGTTGTTTTTCATTTACTACATAGATTTCTAGTTGTCATATTTTCTCTCTTTTTAGATATATATCTGCCTGTGATTGGTCAGTCACCTATAGTGGATAAGAAGTTTTTAGTACTTCAAGGACTTGTAGAAAAAGAGATTGATTACCAAAGAGAACTTCTAGAAACCTTGGGAATGATGGACATGCTTTTTGCTACTATGACAAGGAAAGAAAGTACTTCTGTGTTGGAACATAGATCTGGTGAATTTCTAGAGAAGAAGATGAAATCATAGTATTTTCTCAATAAGAGAAAAAACTCCTAGTTTAGATTTGACAATTATTGGAGAGAGACTCTTGGATACATTGAAAAGGACTGTCTACAGAAGCAGTTTTATAGAAGAGACTGGAATAACTGATTGGAAAATAAGTACCTTATTTTAAGACATGGTTTTCCATATAATTGAATATTGTGTGGCATCTTCAGCTGGAAGACGTCAGTTACCTTGGTTCCAGTGTCTGCCTACCTTGGATGAGTTGTTGTTGATTTTAGTCCAGTACAGTTTTTTATCAGCTGCCAGGTAGGCATGCAGATGGGGGTTCAGGTATGAAGCCTCTGGAGAGAGCTCCTGCTGGGAATCCTGCCAAAGCAACACAGCCTTGTTTCGGGTTTTTGTTTTGTTCTTTCTAGCATAGAAAACAACAAAAACATGGCAACAAGAAGGAAACTATTTTTCATTCAGTGCTCTTGGGATTTCCAAGCTTCTGCTTCCCCCTCACTTCTCTCCTTGATAGCATTGCTGGTTTGGACCATGTGCTCTGCTTCAGCTGGTTGTGGGACTGTTCCAAGTGTGTGGCTCATCAGCTGCTCAGCCCTGAGTAATTGATACTGGACAAGTATTTGGAATATAAGGCAGATTCTATGCCTGTGAACTGTACTCTCCACTTGAGGTTTTCCTTTCAATTTTTAAATCTTGATTGTCTCTCCTTATCAGGACATGGCCTATAGATAGACTTATTGGACCACTTTTTTTTTCCCCTTACTGTCAGTATGCAGCCTTTTTACTAAGTTTTCCCCATGCTTCATTCAGGTCAGTGACTGGAAGGATTTGTCATTTCTAAGACATACCTATTCAGCCTGATATATATGTTTGAAGCTTACAGCTATCTTATCACCAAAAAACTATTTTCTCTGACCCATGCTTAGATTTTTTTCTCTGGTCTTCATAATTACCTTATTCAGAACCCCAAATCAGAACATCTTGCTTTGAAACATAGTTGTATTTTTCAAAAGTTCAATGTGAATCATTTTTTATAAAGGTTCTTATTTTCATTTTGGCTTTCGGAGCTGCATCAATCTCTGATGTATTGTCAATGGCTACTGACTCCTGGCACCAATTTCACAGTTGCTCTTTCACCTTCCCCCGTTGTCGTTTCACCTCAGCAGTATGTGTAGTAGTAATGTGTACAGAAGAATCCTTAGAGGAAAAATTTTAACGTGGAAACCTCCTTTCCTTATTTCAGTTCTGTAAATTCAGAATTTCTCGAAGCAGAAGGAAATGAGATACATGTTCTATTCCTTACTGTGATCACGTATTTAGGGGGTAGTTTCCCTCAGTTGATATAAGCAATCATGCAGCACAGTGGCTTGTAAGAAATCGAGGTGCTTCCCTCAGTAATGAGGTTAGTCAGGGTCAGGAGCTGTGTTTTCAGATTGAAAAGAGTTTGTTTTAAAAATTTTTATTGAAAAACTTTTTAAAGGAATTAACTTTGTATGTATGCTGATTATTTGTATACTAGTAAAAAGTTGAAATTTTCGCTAAAACTAGCTGCTGTCAGTTGTGTAACATCACTTTCTTTTACATTATTTCTCTTGATTCTCACCATAGTTAAGGTTGGAATAATTCTTATTTAGCATTGAATTAATTAAAGCAGTTAAATTTCCCCTGGAAGCCCTAGGCTTGAGTTCCTCATTCCAGCATTGGTTCTGCCTCTTGGGGCCTAAACTACTCATTTTCTTTAATGAATCCTCATCAGGATCTACAGTTCTTAAATGAAATAGGTAGTGATTACAAATTTTTTAAATGATTAGGAGACAGTTCCTATATTCAGTAACTGTTCAGGAGTAATTTTTATACTCCTTGAGACTAGTATTTGTTATTTGAAGTATCTTAACATAATTGGCATATTACAATATGTAACATTGGCCTTAAGAGTCTGATTTAAAATTCCTAACAGAATTTTAGACTTGTGATTTTTCAGTGGGGAAGTATTTTGAAATGTTACTAACGATGCAAAAAATGTTTTGGAGAATTTGAAAGTCGTTATAATTTTTAATTTATTATGTTGATAAGAGTTAAGCACTTGGGAAGATTTTGCCTGTTGGGTCATGCATTCAAAGTGCTATTTAATAAAAGAATCAGATTTTGTAAATATAAATTCTGTAAAATTTTTGAAGGAATTTGAATTGTAAATGAGACCATTAGAAAAAACTTAGTTTGTTCAACATTTACATTGAATTCCACCAAACATTAAAGGCTGTCTTGGAAGTGATTATTAAAATGTAGTTTTTTTCTGAATGGAGTATTTCTAAGTTATTCTCAAAAACTTAGGAAAGTTAAAATGCCTAATTTTAACAATGAGCTATAAATAGTCTTATCTGTGAACAAGATGCCCTCTTGATCACTAGAAGACACTTACTGGTGAGTAGGTGGCTGTATGCTTGCTCCCTTGGCCATAGTTAACTAACTGGACCAGGGGTGATACACCTGACTCAGGTTTTCTCTAAACAGGGATTTGTAATTTGGATTTATAATGAAATTCTTCATCAGGGAAAATGTGGGAGACTGGGAATGCTGTGTTTGTGTCTCAAGTTGAGAAAGCTGAGAGAAGAATAAAAGCTACATGCAGAGAAAATTAACAGAAAGATCATACTGCTTCAGCAGATCAGACTAAAGGAGACTGAAAGCATTTTAGCTCCTGATGGCTGTTTCCCTTATTCTGGCTGTACTTCTCTCAACCCTTTAGGTGGAGGAAGTTTTTTGAAATGCTGTAATAAATTGTTTTTGCTTCCGTGAATGTGAGTTTCTTCTGTTGACAACCAGATGACAGGATTGTTGTTGAGACACACCTTTGAATCCATGTGGTAACTAGCCTGCAAGTTTATCCCGGACCTGAGGGCGAGTGAGCATGAAAGACAAGAGACAAGATAATTTGGAATCGGGGCTGGGGGCTCTTTGCCTCAAGTGGACAAAGCCCTGACCATTGAGCTCTCCTCCCTTTACATGGAAACACAAGATTAATAGAAGTTTCATCTATCTCGTTATCTATAGCATGTACCCAGGTAAACATCCACATCTCAGCTGGACTGATTCTTCTCTGGAACTTGCAACACACTGACATGCCTGCACATTGCCATAGAGACACAGCTTGCTGTTTTTCTCTTTTGACCTTGCAGAGTAGGTCACAGGCAAGACCTAAGAGGAAAATGTTAAGGGTGGTAGAGGGAGCTGTAATTTTAAAAAGAATAGGTTTGAAGGCCTCGGACAGTTGAGCAAAGTACCTAAGGAAGCCAAGACGTTTCATTGGGCCAAGTACAGATGCATGCCTGTGTGTACACATGGAATGGTGACTGATTTAGCAAGGGAACAGTAGTGTGATACAAAGAAAGTCAAATCAGGAAGAAACTGGAAACATCGTTGTTAGGTGTTTATATAAAAGGAAGCAGAAAAATTGGGTAACTGCTGGAGGGATTCCTATGATTAGAATTCTATAAAAGATTAAAAATGCCATTTGCTGTTTTGACATGTATACACTCATGCAAAATGTCTGATACTTTTGAAAGTTTTCTCTTGCCCCTTTGCAATCTTTCCATTCTCCAATCCTCAGGCAATTATTGATAATGCTTTCTGTCATAGTTTGCTTGCATTTTTTGGAAATTTATTCCAATGAATGAGAAGTTAGGTTTTGTGAGAGACTGGCTTCTTAACATAGGTGTTTTTAAGATTCATATTTCATTGGAGATTTAAATTGGAAGGAACAGACTATGCTACTAGGGATAACCCTGCAGAGGGCAAAGCTGATGACATAGGCCAGCGGTGTCAATTCCTGGAACATTATCCTTGGGAAAGAAGACGGGACCAAGTGGCTGAGTAGAAAAATTGGCTTAAACAGGAGAGTGAATATTTTGGGCATGGTTCAGGAAGGAAGGCAGGAAAATGTAGGCACAAATGCAGTTATGTTGCGGGTTGTGGATGTGCTTTACTAAGTTTATTGGCAAAAGAAAAAAGCCAACTAAAATAAGACTGAAAGAAGAGGTGGAGGTTTGGGAAATTAGAGGAGCAGAAAGAAGATAATGAAACATTTGTAGAAAAATCAAGTGCTCAGATTTTGGAGTCATTTGCCTGGGTTTGAATCCTGGCTGGACCACCTAATAGCTATGTGATTTGGGAGAAAGTTATCTTGCCATTTTGTATTTCATTTAGGACGGTTGTGAGAATTGAGTTAATATCTGAAGAAGTACCTAGAATATTCCTGTTTTCAGCTTCTATAATGATGGGGCAAATTAATGGACCTAGAAAGGATATAATTAGCAGCAACACCACACAGCCCATGTTGGTTGGTGTCATACAAGGCCAATCAGCATGATTTTTCTCTATTCAGTTATGAGGATACAGATGTGAAATAGGCTGAGATGTCTTTAACTGATGTTAAGACGTCATGGGTGAATGCAAAATAATTGAGGAAGGCAAAGATGCAGCATGAGGATTCATGCCAAGGGATGATTATAATAGAGTCTGCTGGCTAATTACTAAAATGAGGGCCAAAGGAATCAACAGTAATAACAGCTGGGCCAGTGAATTGTTAGTCTGAGTAAGGTTGAAGAATTAAGACTTGCATTCTAGAGGTAGTGAGCTAGAGACGTGAAAAGATGGCAGTGACAGACCCAAACAGCAGGACTGTTCGAGGCAGTGCCTGCCAGCCAGGAGCTAGAATGTTTGGGAAATGATGGGGAGTGAGAGTGTCCTGGTGGTCTTGTGGTGACCAACAAGGTGAGGTCTTAGATATATAGTCATGACATGAGATTCAACAGTGAGGCTTTCTTAGAATGGAAGAATGGTTTGAAAACGGCATCAAGGAACACCTCTTCCTGTTAGAGCACCTGTACAAAGGGTGTGAGTATGGGGAGAGCATTAGTGTTTGAGAGGACTGTAGAGAAAGCAGCATCCTCACCTGAGAACCAAGTTTTAGTTAGGGACCTGAGAATGTTAAAACACTGAGGACATATAGGACATTACTGATGAGTGACCCTGAGACCTTGGGTCCTGCTGATCTCTTCCTGTTTGGGGCTTAAATCTACTTCTTTGATTTGGTCTGAAGCACTCACTTGGCAACCACTTAATCTGCAAACCCACCTGGTCACTGGCATTGATCCTTCCTGGTTGTATTAAGAGTTCTCCAGAGAAACAGAACCATCTATAGCTCCACGTATGTATATTCATCTTTATTCTATCTTTGTCTATCTGTCTGTCTATGAATTAGGAGAACTGACTCACAGATATGGAGGGCAAGGAGTCCCATAGTAAACTTTTGGTGAGCTGGAGAACCAGGGAAGCTGGTGGTGGGGATCAAATCAAACCAAAGGGACTCAGGAACAGGAAAGACAACGGTATAACTTTCAGCCTGAAACCAAGGACCTAAGTCCCTGGTGGCCACTGGAGTCTGAAGGATAGAGAACCTGGAGTTTTGAGGTCCAGGAGTAGAAGAAGAATGTCTCAGCTCCAGAAGAGGAGGGGAGAAAATTTACTTTTCTCTTTTTCTTTTGGTCTGCCTGGACCCTAGTTCATTGGAAGGTGCCTGCCAGGATTGGTCAAGGTAGACGTTCCTTGGCTCACTGATGGAAATGTCCACGTCTTCCAGAACCACCCCCCCAGATTCCCAGACCGGCTTTCTGGGTATCTCTTATTCCAATGAAATTGACAGCTAAAAAACCATCACACTAAAGCTCCTCTTTCTTACCTATGATGAACAGCGATTTGATGCTCTGCAGCTCCCCTGGCCAGATTGAAGGGTTCCTCACCCCATCCCCTACTTGGCAAAGCCTTGGGAATGGTCGGGTGGCATTAAGCTCACCTAATGCATTAATATGCTGTTTATTCATTTAACAAACATGTCTAGACTACCAGCTCTGTGCCCTCAAGTTCTGGGGCTGTGATAACATTGGTGGATGAGTTCCTTTGAGGCTGAAGACAGCCATCGCCATCCCCTACAATATCCTACCACTCTCCTCCTTAACTAAAGACACTAAGCTAACATCTGTAAGTAGAGTGTGGGCAGTTGCACACGCACATTGAGATTCTTGCAACAAGGTACAGCTGAATGGCAGGGTGAGTTCTAGGCAAACTCAGGCCCTTACTGACTTGCTTCATTTCCCTGAATCTCCTAGTTGACACTTCTCTGCCCTCAGTGGCCACCATCCTCTTTTGGAAGGACACTTAAGGCTTTCAAAATCCTCAAGCTTCTTCTCCCTCTCCCTCCACTAGTCAAAAGAGGAAAACTATTAATTTACTTTGTTTGTTTGTTTGTGTTTTGAGACAGGGTCTCACTATGTAGTTGAGGCTGACCTGGAACTCACTATGTAGCCCAGGCTGGTCTCGAACTGGCAGCGATCCTCCAGCCTCAGCCTCCTGAGTGCTGGGATTACAGGCGTGTAACACCACGCTTGGCTACTACTGATTAACTTTAATTTTGCACATCTATGCTTTAGTCAGTACATTTGAAATTGAAGTGACTAACAACAGACTTTGACAGGAAGAGGTAAGAGAGAGTGAGAAGTGGGGAAGAGAATTTCTGCTTTTGAAACTGCAGTGGTTAGTGAAAAGCCTAGTCCTGAATATAAGCCCAGTTTGGTCATCTCCTTTGTCCAGGCTGGGAAAACCAGGAGAAGGAAGACTGATATGAAAATGAGGCTTTCCCTAAGAGGAACCTTAAATTTTAGAGTTTAGGGACCAGGACAGTTGAGACTATGGAAAAACCATTCCCAGTGGCTTCCAGGGATGGAAAGAAGCACGCATTTACTGAACCAGTAAGTATTTTGCCTGCCCATTTTGCCTGCCTTGCACTATGCCAATCACTGAAATGAGTTATGCAGAAGAGATCCGAGAGCAGAGTTTCCAGACCTCTCATACCAAAAGGTCACCCATCAGACACCTGGGCAGTCCTTAGTGAAAAGTTGGGGGTTTCAACAAAAGCGACCTTCAAGTCCTTGAAAAGTAATAACCTACCTGTCAGAAGTGTTAACAACAGCTAGGCTAGTGGGAGACTAAGAATATTTTGCTCAGCCGTATGACCTTCACAATTAATAATTTGATTTATTTTTTATTAGTATATGTTTGTGATACATAATAATTACATTCATCTGGGGGAACTGGAACATATTCATATCAGATTGGATCATTTTTACTCCTCCTGCCTTACCCTTCCTTTCTTCCCTTCCCCAGATCCCTTTCCCATCTCCTCAGAGTCTACCTTCCTGGTTTTACCATCTTTTATTTTTTAATTTATTTTTTCGATGTGGTCCGGGCTGGCTTTGAACTCACTGTGTAATCTGGGCTGGCCTTGAACTTGTGGCGCTCCTCCTGCCTCAGCCTCCCAAGTGCTGGGCCACCATGCCCAGCTCTCTCTTTTCTTTTGATCTTTGAATTACTTATATTTTTGGTCTTTCATATGAGAGAAACCATGTAATATTTAGCCTTCTGTGTTTGATTTAATCTCACTTAGGTTTTTAAAAAATTTCTTATTGGCATATTTTTTGTGATGCATAATAAATACATGCATCACGGATAATTGGTACACATATATAATTGCATCTTGGTCCTCTTTACTCTCCCTTCCCCTCCCCCTCCTCTGGTCTCCTCCATCCCCAAGTTCTCTTTACAATATCCAGTCTGTCTTCCTTTTCCTATCATCTCTCCTTTATTTTGCTTTGAGTTTCAAAATCCTAGCATACCAAGTTCTTCCAACACCTGTATGTATAAACTGAGCCACCAGCCTATATTTTT